GATCATCGACCTAGGGAAGAAAACTTTGCTCCAATGTACAGTATGCACTGAAATCTAAACCTGTGCACTGCTGGATGTGTTCACTGGTAACCATCTGCCCCAAAATGCTTTCTAAAAAGAAACTCCTTAAGTTCAGTGCTACAACCTCGGTAGACTAGGTCTACATGTGTGTTTTGGCCAATTCGTTTTTCGCTTATCATTAGCTATGATCAAACTCTGGGGCTCCTCGGGACTATGTGGCACAGACATAGCTACAAAATCCAAATTATGTTGAGACATGGTTTGGACCTTATGGAATACGAGGACAAGGAGCCTAAAGTTACGATCCATACTTGGGACAATTGGGTAAATCTCTGGCTGTGGAAGGGGAGATGACCTCAACCAAACACAATCAATATTTGATATACAGTCTTGGGTGAGTCTGACCGACAGCCTGACAACAAAAAGTATCAACACTTACTACAAACTACTGAGCAGGAGAATGAGCTGGATTTGAAATAGCAGAACATACTCAAGAAGACTGTTGAACATATCAGATCGGGCAGAATTTTACACAGATATCTTTATCGATTTGTTCGTTCAGATGTTGATATTTACTTTCTTCTCTCCTTCGATACAGCCAAAGGCCAAATGAGGATTGCTTTCATCTCAGACTTACAAGTCATCCATCATCTGCGTTTTGCTTCAATGAGCGAATGGACGGAATACCACATATGATTAGTCATTTGAATTCACACCGCTGTGTTTTGTCCGTGGCTCATCTAGCTTGTGGCACAGCAAACCCAGATTTTAAAACACTCTTCTTGCTTTGGGCTGGTCAAAACTCCGCTCCACTTGCACCTCTACTTACTCAACAATCATGTCGGATCGTTTCCTCTCACTCACACACCTAAGGCTCCGCTACCCAGACGGTCTACCGATATCTGTGGTTGATGCTGTGCAAGCTGTTGATAAGCTGCTAAACAGCGAATGGTTTACTGATACATTCGCTGTCAACCGCCCAAATAGTGAGATTTTGGACGCTGTAAAAGACCTAAGAGTCTACATCTGCGATACAGCAACCTACAATGCAGGGGTCCTCGCTGCCACGCACACATTACCTGACGTTATGGTCACCGATGAGATGGGCTGGTTTGATGCCCGACTTGATGATGAGACCATATACCTTAATGCGGAGGTTTGTAAAAAGATCACCATTAATAATGCATATGTATACATTCTCAACAGTATACATAGTATTTTACTCCCAGACCCTATAATTCGAGGGGTATCCTCCCTGTATTGGCCATGGTGACTGTCGTGCACGAGTTGCAGCACTTTTTGCACTACAATTTTAACGTGCCTAGTCCCATCCATCCGATCCCTTCGATGAGGACCAAAGATCCTGTCGAGTCAGGACATGAGTGGGAAATCCGTAACCTTGGGGGGGTATTAGGGAGAGCCTCTTTTGACAAAACCCCCAAAACGGTGAGATTTTTGTTACATAGTGTGGAGGCGATTGAAAATGGCACTAGGACCCATTATTATCCGGATTAATCCGGTTAATCATATCGCATAATCAGAACCCCCCTCTATCGTTCAGATTGGTGTGGCATGTATTGTAATGTTTTTTTTTTAAACTGCGGTGAGGCGCATGCCAAAGGTCTATAAAAGGGAGGCCTTTTCCCTCTTTCCTCTTTACCCATCCTCGACTCGAAGCATCTGTGCAACGCTCATTGCGACCCACACAACCTCATCGCGACTCGGTCAACCATGAGAATGCCGATGTGGTGGTGTCGAGGACCTCGACCGCCCGACAGCAACCATGATCAGAACCAGCGGCAACCAATCGGATCCGATAACAAAACCTACTATTATACTGCCACATTAGTTGAGCTTGGTTGGTATGTATTGATGGCATTTCTTGCATTTCTTGTCATCGGGTCACCTCGCTGACATGCAGTTTTTTTTAGTCTCCAAGCCTTGTCACTGAAAATCCACCAGCTTGTGACGCTGCCCAGTCGATTCGCTCCTGGATGCAAGAGTCTGGCTTCAATGCCATCAAGAGTTCTGGATCAAGGCTTAGTAGGGACCATGTGTGGTGGTGGGCAGTTATCCGGTTAGAACAACCGTTACGTATTGCGTGTATAATTGCCTAGTAGTAGTTAGATAGCTTTTCCGAACCGGTTGTCGCCGGTTTATTCCCTGGTGTAGTAGCTAGTGCCAGTTTCTGTCACCTCTACACTAACAAGCTAGTGATAACTTTTGATGTCCTAACTTGTTGCAAAAGATATCTTTCTGGGAGCGGGTCGGTTTCCTTACACTCCCAGATTGCGAGACACTGGGCCCGCCGGCCTTAGAAAGCGGAGCGGTGCGGACACATGCTGCCGTGAGCGTTTGGGTGGAATTCAGCCGCAACCATTGCCGACGCCAAGAGAAGTCGTACCCGACCGCAAGCCACGCGCGTAAGGTGATGACACAAATATGTGTCAAGAGAACTACGTTAGGTTTGATTCCCTGCTTGCTCATTGAGGCAGGGATACGTAGGCAGCGAGTCCTGGGACTCCCAGGATTCGTCCAACCTTTTTACTTTTTTTTTTTTTTTGTCGTAAAGCGTTATGGATCGGTTGGGACATCGTGACACAATGCAGATCCCATGTCTCATCTCATCTATGTTTCGCTACAGCGAGCTCCTCATGCTCTATAATTGCAGATGGTGCCGACCTTCCAACATGGCTATACTGATCACTATCGACAATCGTGCCCTCTTCTAGTGAAGGGGGGACGACTAGAATTCTCTCACTAGAATACGTACCCAAGCGATATACTACAATAGCTACCAATGTGACGACAACAAATGTGGTAATCACCACATAGCCCACAATGCCAAACTCCTCATCAACCTTCCGGATAGCGTCCCAAAACCCACCTGTCATATCGTATTTTTCGGCAATGATCGACAACACTTCGATTGTACCAACAAAAATTGCTACAAGCACTGATAGCAGTGTGATAACAAAATTGTAGTACAGCTTGAGCGCCGGATTGACCATGGCGTAGCGGTATGTCGCAAGCTACATTGAGGGTAGAACTGCGTCAGATCCATAGAAGATCATGATACACATAACATGTTGCGGCCGCTACCATTACTATTCCGTCCAGTGTATCGATGAATGTCATTCCCGCAGTGAATAGCGCAGGCAAGAAAAGAACCAAACCGAGGGGTATCCCCGTGCCAGCTTGCGTTGCACTTATGCCAAGGAGAGTGATTTCAGTAGCCGTGTCGAAGCCAATGCCGCTATTGCGTCCAGATTTAGCTGTGGTGGAAGTTCCCATTTTTGGAATTGCTCTAGCAGCGCGTACAATAAAATACCCAACGGATACATCTTCCATGGCGCTGAGGAAGCAAGTCAGAGCGATCTAGATGCGCCCGCATGCATACTTTGGGCCGCTTACCGTTAATAAACTTGAAGACTGGACGGAAGAACCTTCCTAGAAATCCGCCCGTCTTCAAGATCTCATCATTTTCCACGTGTGCAAGGTTTCTGCATAGCAGAACAGGTCAGCAATGTGCTAACGTAGGACGCTACCTCTTGTGGTACGAAAACTCACCCTCCGTTGCGCATGCGCTTCATGTTTCTGATGATGCCAACTAGCACGACAATGTTACATGCCGCTATCAAGAACAGGAAGGTAGCGCTCACAATAGTTCCTGTAATTCCCCACCCTGAATCGGAAAGCCCTCTTGCTGTCACAGCCAATACGACCGTTGCCACAATCACAATAGTGGAATGTCCAAGTGCAAACCAGAACCCGACGGTGCAGGGATAGGTGCGACCATTATCATCCTGACTCAGCTTCCGCGTAACATTATCAATTGCAGCAATGTGGTCAGCGTCCACAGCGTGCCGAAGCCCCAGTGTCCAGGCGAGGAGCAAAGTTGCTTGCGCAGTGGGATACGGCCGGTAGCATATAAAGGCTGCAACCCAGATCAGTGCATTCGCCACGGCCAGTGCAACGATGATGAATGTTGCCTTTCGAACTACTGGGCGTGGTAGAACACGGAAAAGTGCATGAAAGCGCGACTTTTGGTCCTTCTCGTCATGCGAGACTTCCATGGCAGGTGCCGGCTCCATTAATGTGGCTCGTGACGAGTAGCGAGTTGGGCACCCGTTCCACCACCAAAGTTGTGTTCTAAATGCCAGGCAACAAATGTCGCTCAGTTATTGCTTATCGTGCAGGGTGCTTATCGCGGTGGACAACCTTGCCATGCCAACAACGTCCTCCAATCAACTCCTGAATAACCACGTGACATTTTATGATAGTATAAAAGCGTCTGTCTGAAGCAACTTTTGATTTTCTTTATCGACCAACTCTTCAGGATCATATGTGGAGTCTGTCGTACCTCGCTTTGTTTTCTAACAAAGTCGCACATATCACCAAGGATGATGAGATGGAGAGCCTCCATCCAACGAGAAGTGGGGAGTTTTGGAAGCGTACTTTCACGTCGGTTCCCTCCCGTTGAAGATTTCTCCTCTGGGATATTCCAATCCGGTAGGAAGGATGGTGGGCTCCGTCTGACTTGGTGTGGCATTGAGTGTGTGGCATTGCCGCAATCTTTAGGCTTTGGCGCCTTTGTTGTCTCTTTGGTCTGAACGTTGCGTGCAATGCCACTCTTTATTGAATCAGGGTCGTCAATGATTATACTCTTTTTATATTTGCTACTTCAGAGACTCACATATGTGGGTCCATGAGAATGATTATCCACCCATAGAATATGATACGAACCTGAATTCTTTTTCATGCGCACTTTTTACATGACGTCCGTGGGCGGAATATCCGCTTCATGTCGCTTGCATCTTTCATCGCACCAAAAAAACGGCATGTCGTGCGTCGACTGCCCAAGGTATTTGCCCCCCCCCCACATAAAGCCAGCCACACGTCAGCCACACGCCACTAAAAACGCTGTGTGGCGCTAGTGTGGCTGTCATAAAATTCAATATATCCTTTTTTGCTGTTCGGATGGAGCCACCGATGGCATAGTCATGCTGTGCCACTGCCTTTGTGGACGCTCAAAGGCCGCTTTGGACCAAACTTGAAATTTTGGCAAAGGTTGGGAACTTGCTTTTTGCAAACGAAATTCCTTTGAGCTCCCGGTCTGCGAAGGAGGGCCGGTAAGACCATGGCATGGAAGGGTGTTTGCTTGCATATGGTGTTTACTGATTAGAGCCGTTGATGATACAGAGGATCCGTTGTCATTGTTGCTTGGTTTGTGCAGGCATTTTGTTCAACGTCGGAGGGTTTTGTCTGCACATTGCTTGGGATCATTGAAAAGGTATGTGTATATGAGCTGCATGGCCGAGTGATGCGGGCTGCCATGCACAAGAGTCCTAACTCTAAATGTTCGTGCGTGGACTTTTGCAGTTTGGTATTGTTTGCGGTGGCTTGTGAGCGATATGGCTGATACGCAAGAGCTTCAACCAAAGGAAGAGCTCCAAAGGACGGTAAGGGCAATACACTTTTCAGATATATGAGAAAGTGGACAATGCGCTAAACAATTTTGACTAATTTGCTAGGAGTCACCCATTCCTACGGTCTCCAGCCAAAAGTACATGAACCTTCCCGCACCGGTCATATCGGGCATTGTGACATATCTGGACCATGCTGATCAAGTATCTGCTCTTTTGGTGTGCCGAGGCTGGTCGCGACCTGTAGCGGAAGCCATGTACAGAGCGCCACCGTTGCAGTCTTCCGACTCGTTCGAGCGCCTCATGTCGTTGCTCAACACACCACTGCCGGCGCATCCCTATCCGGAAATGATTCGCGAACTAGACATTGGCAGCTCAGCGGCAGACAACCTGTACATGGGTGATCTGGATGCGACTCTTGCTGTTTGCACAAATCTGGAGGTGTTTAGATTGGAGAACTGCTTTCACATTTCCAATATTCTTGTGCGTTCGCTTTCGACGCATTGTCCAAGTTTGAAGCAGGTATGTAACTTCCATAGGGTGTCTTTAGCTATCAACCAGTGCTGAAATCTCAATTACATGAACAGGTCGACTTGCCAGGCTGCCCTATTTCCGATTCGTTCATTCCGGTTTTGAGCAAGAACTGTCGGCAGATCGAACGCTTGGACCTCAGCTTCACCAACCTTACTGTCGCGTCGCTGCATGCGATTGTGCTAAACTGCGATAGCCTCATCCAGCTCGACCTTTCCGAGTGCCGGCCAGTGGAGGAAGACACTGTGCTTGATCTGTCCAACAAGGGTTTTACGCGACCACTCCAGTGGCTAAATTTGCGTAATACTCCTGTGAGCGACGATCTCCTTCGGTTCACGGCTACACATTGTCCGAATCTAGAAGACTTGGTGTTGGAGTCTTGTACCGAAATTACCGATGATGCACTCGTCAAGGTTGCAAACACTTGCACAAAGCTACGCCGGTTGGACGTGTCCTTTTGTGACAACATCTCCGATCTTTCACTGCAAGCGTTCGCAATGCGAGCCTCATCAGCAAATGGGGGAACACTGCGCGAGCTGTACTTGACAGCCTGCGATAGTATTGGTGCTATTGCAGTGCATAATCTTGCACAAAAGTGTACAAATCTCGATCTTCTGGTGCTTGATGGATGTGACAAGATTCTAGGAACGTTTGTCCAGTCTTTTGCTTCTCAACCGTCAGATGAACTTGAGTGTCTCTTGGAAGGGGAAGCCATCCGTCTTTTTGCCGCACACGTCCCAGGATCTAACCCTGTCACACCACCTGCTTCTCCGGGCCGCCCAGCTGGAGCGGCTACAAACTACAAGGTTCAAGTTAGCTATGCCACGACATATGGTGAAAATGCAGACGTTGGCGGCTGGCGGTCGATGAGCAATGTGTATGGTCCGGGTGGGCAGGATTCCGCGGCGCTGGCGGCCGCCGCCCTAGAGGCCGCAAAGGTGCAGGCTTCATCCGGTGCGCAGCTTCATCGAAGCCTCTCACGGCGTACGTCTCGTTCGATGTTGCGTAAGCGATCTTCGATGAGTCTGGCGGACGCAGCAGCTGAAGCCGAAGCCGCAAAACAAGAACGGCAAGAAAAGATACGCGAAAAGCGCAGATCCCGGACATCCATCGATCCAACCCCAGCACCGCCGCCTCCCGTCGTTTCTGCACCAATCGTGGAACCCACGCCTGCGCCTGTACCAGCAGTCACTGCTGGTCAATTGCTCGCTTCCGGCAGGACGTCACCTCCGTCAGGAGAAGAAATCGCTGGTGCGATTCCGCTGGCATCTGGACGCCGGAGGAGCCAGCCACCACCGCCAGCCAGCGATTCCGCAACAAACCCGCCATCTACCACACAAGGGCAAGGTTGGGGAGCTGCAGCGTCTTCCGCGACTTCGAACTGGGGTGCGCCTCCGGCACTTGTATCGGCGCCTGCATCTGCGACCAACTGGCAACAGAAGCCTGTAGATTCGTGGAATCAAGGTACACAGTCTACCGCGGCGCCAGCAACAAACTGGACAAACCCCACTCCACCGGCGTCACCTGGCGTTAACGGTGTACCTGATCAGCAACCTGTTCCCGCGCCGTTAGACAAAGTTCGTCGGCGTAGTATACCCGTACCTGCTGGTCCGCCACCTCCTGGAACCAACACAGCATGGTCAACCCCTGCTGGTCTTCAACCTCCCCCTGCTCCGATCATAAACGGAGGAGCGTCTGTGACACCACTTTCTGCACCACTACCAGCTCCTGCACCCGCCCCTGCTGCTCCAGGGACAGAGACTGTCCTTCTTGCATCTGGTCGTGCGGCGCGTGCTGCGGCCGCAAAGGAGGCAACAATGGGCAACGGAGCTTCGCCAGCCCTATCTGATGGCGCGACGATATCATCTGGTGAAGGCGGTGAATCAGCGGTATTGCTTGCGTCTGGGCGTCGTCGCTCCCGCACTGGTTCGATGACTTCACCCCCAGTGGCGGACGTTCCGGCCATTGCAACTAGCCTTCCTATGGGAAATGGAGCACCTGCCCTTCCCTCCCCATCAGGTCTTCCGGCCGCACCGCAGGCTGCGCAGCCCTGGGGCTCTAACCCCACCATTTGGACTAACCCCGCCCAGTTGACATCTGCAAGCTCGACGTGGTCTACAGCAAACTCCAGCACTACTGGGGGGTTTGTCGATCCGTGGGCAAAGTCACCTCAATCCCCTTTCTCTCCTGTCAGCAATGATCCCTGGGCAGCTCCACCATTGTCGTATCAACCACCTCAACAGCCGCTCGCTTCACCGCCTGTGGCGCCATATCCCCAACCTACACCATCGCCCACATGGGGACAAAACGGCGCTCCTACCACAAACATTCGTCTTGCTGCTGCTCCCGGTTGGGGTGCAGCGCAAGGCGGAAGCTCTGGTTGGACTTCCACTTCACCCTACTCTCCCAATGGCGTCGGCCAGCCTTCTGGCGGTTACTTTGAACGAACAAGGGCAAGGATGCAAGCGACAGGGTTTGGCACGCAGGGTGGATACGGATATGGTCCAGCGGGTGACGATGACATGAACACGTCGAGCGGAGGCTTTGTCTTTTCATGCTCCAGAAGAGGGAAAATGCTGTTGAAATTGAAGATTGAAACCAAGACAGGAGGACATCAGACCTTGGCTGTACATGAGGTGAGTATTTATATTATTGCACGAGTGTAAATGATTCAAAATCTGATATCTTTGTTCATTTCACTAGTTTGATGATCCGCATCAACTCGCCTCCGAGTTTTGCGCTTACTGGGACATGGCAGCGTTCCGTGAGCCATTGGTCCGGCTCATCTCGGTCCGGAAGACCAATGCAGTCAGACAGCGAGTTCATGCACATTAGCATGTGCGGTTAAAAAAAAGCAAAGTATCATTGTATCATAGATGGGATGTGGGTTTCTGCTGAGTAGAACCTCATTGGAAGTCAGTAGACGAGTTATTCCTAATGGACGTCTTATGAACCGCGTAGCTCTTGAGTGTGTTCTCTGCGTCTCTATCTCCTAGAATTTCTTTTTACGTTGGCGCTGGTCTGTATTGTCTGTGTAGTCCCCCAATTTGCTATTTCCTGTAGTTAGGCGATCGTCCGCGAGGATGGACATTAGATGATGATATTTGTTGTGTAGGACTATATTTACATACATATATAAACGAAGGCACATATCTTTTTGGCTTGCCAACAATGCGACTTACGCCTCGTACTGCAGGCACTTGCACAGTCCAGTGCGTATTCAATCGTGGCACCACACAACTGAATGTCTCTTTGGATTATCAATTATCCTGCAGCGACATCTGATTTGGATTTTTTTGCCATGTGAACCATGTTTTAAATAGTCGAACTTATCGATAAAAACCACAATGTAAACATCGTATCAAATCGTATCGATATCGTCTTTTCAGAGCCCTGAAGCAAAAGTATGTATACCCCAACAGGTTGTGAATCAACCACCGTCAATAGTTGTAAACAAGGGTGGTCTTGTTCAAGGTCTCACATTGAACTTGTCGCCAATAGGCTGCAAGCGATCTAGAAAGATGTGAAGCATATGCAACGACCACAGATTTGAAACTCGTTGTTGCTCGTACCTACGTGTTCGTGTGTATCTGTGCGTATGTGTTCAAAAACAGTCCAAAACCCTATCGAATAAAACCCTCAACACACACTGGCGGAGGGGGAAATAACACGAGCATAAAACCTCGTCGCGCGTCTCCTTATAAGCCTTTTGGACCATTCGGAGGGCTGTTGCTTGGCGTGTTTTTATTTTATTTTTGGCCCAGCTTGGAAGCAAACCATTCTTTTGCGGGAGAAACCAGGATTAACAAACAACCTAAACAAGCGACTTTGGGGCCAAACACCACATATGCGATGCTCATCAAAAGTGCTAACGCCCTCCAAGCACACATACACACCACATACATACGGACAAGAAACAGTTGCCTTGCTCCATTTTTAACTTGCCCATCAACTACGTCCTTTTTACTGATTTCATCAACAACGTCAACGACAAAACTCCTTCCATGTCAACCTTTTGACATCGCCCTTTCAACGGACAGTAGGATGATAATAACAAACCATTGCATTGAACCACACCAATTGCATTTGAAAGAAAATGTTCAAAAACATTTTTATGCAAATTTTTTTGGGAAACAAATTTGTGTGTCAGAACTGCAATTCAACAACTAATGTCTCAATAACTGCATTGACATTCCAATGTCATTCCATTTGTTGTCAAAATGCATTCCAACTATTCCAACTTGACGTGTTGATGAGGTCCTCTCCTTCCCCCCCCTTCTCGCTGTTTGTTGGTTGGCTTGTTGGATTGCCGATTTTGGCCCATTGGACAAGGTTGCAAGCGGTATCGGCTTTACACGCTGAACAAGACAATTTGGCTGCACGCACTCGTGTAGCTTTTATTCGTCTTGGTGCTTTACTTATCTGTGCGATCACTCCATTACGGTAACGGTCGAGACTGTGGAATCCTGTACAAGCAAAACTAGGAGTTTGTTGGCACTTGCTCCTTCCGTCCGTGTGTGTGTACACACACGACTCTTTCGTTCCTGATCCCTTGCCCCCCGCCTTGCACTGTGTTTGGTTACGAACATTGTCAAGCCTCAACCCAACCGATACAACAAATAGCCAGTGGTACACTACGGTTGAAAATTCCCACGTCATCACCTTGTATCTTTTTGCGTTCCTTTTACACCTCTCGGTACTCTATTCGCGGACGACTGCCGTACCATCACCCCTAAACGCACACAACTGACTACGGATACTGATCATTACCTTGGAGAGCTGATTTACGAGCTTTCAGTAGCGGCCCTGCTTTGGGAACGATGAGGTCTTCCGGACAGGATGATGCGGCTGGCGAGCCAGGGGACATTGTTTTAAACGGTAGAGACCAGCAGACAACTGACCTTGATGATGGTCGTCTCATGGTCGATGGCGGCGCTGCCCGCAATGACGCTAGTGGACGAAGACAGAGTTGGTCGGGCGAGAGTGGGAGTGAATCCAGTGGTGAGCTCTGCGTCTTGATAACCCTCTGTGGTAGCTGTGTTGCTAAAACTTGTGCATTATTTTCCTTAGATGATAAACTCGGGGTTTCTTCCGAGAAGCCAGCGTCGGGCTTGATGCTCCGGAAGGTGCCTTCTTTCAGCGCCTTGAGAACAAATCCAGCTCCACCCACGGCGCGTAGCACGCTACCCGTACGCCATAACCCTTTGCCGTCTGCCCACCACAACAATGGACCCTATCCACACAATTACCATCCACACCATGTTACCCCCACACCGCTGCCCACCCGTGTTTCTAATACCACAACGAGCGTACCCTTGCCTCCGCCTACCGCTCGTAGCTCCACTCCTCAAGCAGACCCGAACCGACGACTCTCAAAGTTTAAGAGCGGCGATTCGATAAAGTCGTTAATGGGAGTGCTAGCCGATGGCGATCGTGACCGCGAACTGGTTGTAGAGACGGATGCAGCATTACAGGGACTAGGGCGACCGCCCCTTTTCAAAACTCCGGTATGTATTGGACCATCGGCTAGATGTAAAGCAAATGACTGACCGTTACGTTCGTTAGACTGCGCCTGTCAAGGTCGCTAGGGCGGGCAAAATGGAAGAAGATGCCGAGGAATTTGTGTGGAGTGGTTCGCCCGATCCACACAAGACTCGCTCGAAACGTTCATTTTCGAATCACCTTCTTCCAGCCCCCAACGACCCTCCGCCTGGGATAGCGCCAATTGCAGCGTCAACGGCCCCTCGTCCAGACGGACTGCCAAACGAGTACTTACCTCCACCATCGGTTACAAACGGCTCCAATGCGAGCGCAAATGCGGACCTGATGGCTCCCCGGTCTCAGGGACCAAAGCTAAAGAAGAGCTCAGAGTTCAAAGCGCTTCCAAAACGGAGCGGGCAACCTGCAGCTCCTTTCTTGCCGATGTCGTCGGGGCATTATGGTGCTACGTCAAGTGCCGCTTTCCTTCAATCTCCTGCTCATACGATAGCAGATGTACCTGTGACGCTGACAATGCCGTCTTATCGGCAGTCGCCTGTCATGACGCCAACTCTTCCGGGGCCTGGGGAAGGATCGGCATATATGCAGTATGCTGGACATGGTAATTTTGACAGTGAGAGGGCGTATTTACTTGGCACGAAAAGACACGAGTTTCGTCGACAAAGTCTTCCCCGCGACATTGAATCTTCAAGTGATTTTGAACGGTAATATTAAGTTCATTTTTGCATTAACGATATCCTTATGTAACCTTATTTTGTCTTTTTGTAGTCCGAAGGGCCGCTCCTTTGTGTTGTCTGTCGGATGTCTTGTGTTTGTTGCTCTCGCGCTTTTCGCCATGGTCGCCTTCTGTGTTCAGCCACTGACCAACCTGAGCATTCTTCGGGTTGGTAATATTCACGGTACACTTAGTATCTTTGAATTCGACATGACGCTCTCTGCAACAAACGAGAATATTATTCCCGCCTATGTGGATGAATTGGACGTGGATGTCTTTGTGGGTGGTGGTAAGTGTTCACCTTGTTTTTCTTTTCTAATTTGGTATTCCAACCACTGTTTATGCTATAAGCCATAGGGTTAGAATCCGAGGACCTTTTCGAAAGCGGTGAAAGCAATAGTACTATTGCACTTGGCAAGGAGCTGTTGGGGCACGTCCGTCGTGTGACACCAACCACAACTTTCACGCCCTTGTCACGAACGAACGCGAACACGCACATTGCTATCCATGACCCTGAAAATACACTTGGTAGAGTGTAAGTGTTCCTCATGAGGTTCATAGCATGGAATTAGGCTCCTAATTTTTGCAATCGTTAGGATATACATGCGCTTTCCGTATACCCTAACAGTGCGAGGATCCGTAACGTATTCGTCATTGTGGTGGTTTCAGTTTGTGGAAACTGTCGATTGTGTCACAAGAGTGGAAGCCAGTGGACGGACGGATCCTGGGAGGACATGGATATGTCATGCCGAGGGTGAATTGGAGGATTATGATTGACATCCGCGAGACCCAATGGACGTTGTTTGTTCGTTTCATCTTTCAATGTAAATACCTTGTGGGAGGATAGAAGGGTGGCTTCAACGTTGACGAGCTAAATGTTGGCTTTTGGTTAAAACTGCTCAACCACAGTGACCCAACATTTGTCTGATGACTTGGCAGCCTGCCGCGATGGCGATTTTTTGTTTGGTTTTCGCAATAGTCATGTTGAATGTATATATAGAGAGCCTCGGTACGCGCAGTTCTTTTTTGTGCAATGTTTTTGGCAATATGCTCTTGCCAAGCGTACTGAGAGAGTAGAACATGAAAAATATAATGAAAAACACCAATCGTGTGAATTTTATAATGATACTTCACTTGAAAAAGGAACCGCCCACCCCGACAACCATGACAGAAACACACAACTCAAGAAAATACAAAAGGGGGCCTTGCAGTGAAAACAAGCACACCTGCAAAGAACAAAAAAAAAGAAATAGGAAACATTGCATCTTACACAATGCGATAAAAAAAAGACCGCACTTCACGCCCCCTGACTCGACTCGCTTCGACCGTATGCGTCAGAACGCAAAACAGATAAACTAGTATCCTCAAGTGTTGATCTCCTCCATCCTCCTCCAATACAGGCATGCACAAATAACCACCACCGCCCTCCTCCAATTAGCGATGCAATCCCGCGAACAGTAGTCCATCCAATTTTCGCATTATCCAAGCATCTAAACAAGGTTCTCGCCATGCCAAACCAAATGGATCCACAAGTCTATATCACATGGTAAAAAAGATGATCGTTTTGATTTTTTTTTTTTCGTTTTTCATTTCCCCAATGGCGGAAATTCCATTTCCATCTCAAAGAGGACTCCGTCACCGTCTCCACCGTTTGTCACCGATGGCGGCTGCTGCTGATTCCCGTGACCTTTAGTCTTCTTGCTCTTTCCCTTTCCTCGAACATAACCCTTTACAGCTTGATTTCTCCGAGCCGTTTTCTCACGATCGTCGCCATCCAAGATTCCGCGTCGCTGCTTTTCCTTCTTAAAGTCTTGAATGGTCTTAAACTCTTTTAGAGCATTCTTCAGGACGTCGTTGACCATGTCATCGATTTCGGGCCGCTTCGCCTTGTCCTTCCGGTAGTACAGGTACGCCCAGAATTTCTCCAAACCATACAATTGTTTCATGCCGACATAGTCATGCACGGTCATATCTTGGAAATCTTGGAACAAGTCGGACCGGAACCGGCTCTCCAAACCATAAGAGTAAAACCGGAAGAGACATTCGAGGCCATAGCGGTATCCTGCTGCTGCATCCTCGGTAGCTAGTCGACGAAATTCATTGTACATGCGATTATTGAAATGGTCTCGGAGGAAATGAGACCAGAACCGGAACAGGGTGTTCATCTCCTGGGATAAGCCGGGGCCCAATCGTTTACGTTCTGTAACGAAAAAAGACGATGAGGGATACAATGAATATCACACAGAATAGACTGGCTTACCCTTCAGAGCTTTGGCGTGGTATTTGGAGTATTTGTGTTGGATGAATCCATTCTCGCGCAAGAGTTCGTAACTGGGATGTTGGAAGGCCGGAAACTCTTTGAAACTCAAACGGCCCTCGGTTAAGCTGCCTGCCTGAGACCCAACACTCGTGCTCAAGTTGCTGGATGTGCTCTGGCTATTCCGAGTGGGAATATCCAAGTATTTGCCATTGACTTGCTCAGGGGCTTTTCCAGAGTCAGTTAACGAGCTGCCCAATACCCCCATCAAGTAGCCAACAGGAGGAGAAGCTGAGGTTGCTCCCGCATCCCAGTACCGCCGAGGTGTTTTGATGGGTTTAGGTGCGGAACTAGCAATTTGGGGTGGGACGGTCTTGCTAGCCTTATTCTTCCCATGAAGATCCTCAAAGTATCCGCCCTGCGCACCAATGTATGGTTTGGGAGAATGCATACCGTTCTGCATTGCTGCAAACTGGTCGCCATCAACAGCCAGCACCTTATTCTTTGGCTTTTTCGGAGTCAAATAATCATGCTCATAGTAATACAAGCCTTCATTGATGATCTCATTCAGCTCCTGCTCCGCACGAGAGCGCTCAAACGGTGCGGTTGCATGCTTACGCGGCGGAAGGTTGTGAGAATGAACCGCCTGAGACGCTGGTTGAGCGTGGCCTGACGCGAGTTGGTAGGGAGGGCTGCTCGGGACGGTCACAATCATTTGCCCACCGTCATCAGTTCGCTGCGTAACAATCAGCAATGCGTCCACATCGTCATCGTCAATATCGTGCCAATCCTCTGCTGAGTCGTACCCACTTTCCGAATTCACGGTTCCATTAGGCACCACTGGAATGTGCCGAGCTACAACCACAATATCGGGATCCTCATCATCTTCAGAGTCTGTGCAATTTTGACTACGGTAACCGTTGGCAACACGGACCTCGGTCAACTCGCTAAAACCAGCATTGCTGAACCGTCTACGTCCACTCCGACCTGGATGTGAAACCCACTCGTCGCCTTCCTCCTCAAGCTCAAAGATATCCTCCGTTTCAGCGATGGTCTGATTACTCTCGCTACGTGCCATCTGACCTGAACCTTTCACAGCAAACAGTGAGAAGTCCGCAGCCCTCTGCTTGGGCTGTCGCCTCCGCGCTGGCGCCTTCTCCCACCCTTCTTCTATCTCATCGGCTGCAAGGTGCACCGAGCTGTCGTCCTGGTGTCGCCCAGCTCCCACGGCTGGGCCAACCCCGTTTGGGTGGCCGGGTTCAGAGGTGCTTTCTTTGTTGTTTGTGTACGCATCCGCGGGCGATTGTGGCGGCGTAGGCATTCTCGGTGTCTGAGGAAGTGATGACCTCGACTCCGCCTCTGAGGCCTGCTTTTGGGACGCCGGAGAGGGTGGAAGCTGTGAACCATTGGCAGAGCTGACGCTATCACTCACTTTGGTCGGGTCGGTAGAGTCCTGTGGAAGCAACCAAAACTCCCAATTGTCGCGACGACGCACAAAATGTTCTCCTGTGCCATCTACAATAATCTCCACGAGGTCGCTACCCTGCACTGCGGATCCAAGGAGTTCATTCGTCCATGTCGGAGCTTCGACATCGACATTTGAAACCGACAGAGTACTTTCATTCACGCTCCGCTCCACCGGCTCAGTAGCCACTTCGCCAGTTTTGTCGCCAACGGGGCTCAACGGCGTCATAGACATGGCCTGCAGCGCCTGTGTCTTTGACTTGGCAACATTTATTAACGATCGCACCCGGTTGAAACCTGAGATGAGCCGAAGGGGCACGCCACCATTGGTCGCATTCATTTGGCGACGGAAGTAGATATCCCGGCAAAGGTTCTCAACAGAAAAGTAGTATTCACTGTATATCAGGGTTAATAACCGAGTTGAGAGCTAAATTCAGATGACGTGCCACACTCACATTTGGGTACGGATCCACCATTTGACGGTCTCTACATCAACAGCTTCAGGGTCAGGGTACCCATAGTACGCTCCAGACGGCGCAGCATATGGCCCCGCCTGGAGCTGGCCAAGAACAGGCTGAGCATAGCCATTAACATAACCATAATATTGACGCGGCCCTCGGCTGATGCTGGACCGGCCGCGACCTCCGCGACCTCCACGCCTGCTTCGCGACTGATTAGGTGCATACACATGGTGTGCAGCCGGGATTGCATTTTCGACCGAACCAGTATGTGCAGGTGAAGTACCACCAGCAGTAGACGCGGCTGACGCGACAGATGCGTTTGATCCCCTTCTGGGGCCCCGAGAGGGTGCCTGCTGCTGCGGTGCATTCCGTGGACCACGGCTGCGTTGCCTGGTAGTATCTACCCGTGGACTAGAGTGGACTCCAGATGTACCAACAGACGGCGCTGAGGTTGTTTCTTTTGCAACAGCCTCTCCAGCGATCTTTCCTTTCTGCTGCTGCTCTTCAGACCGTTTGCCGCTAGACTTTCCAGACCGACTTGAACCGCGAGGGGCGAGCGAAGCAGGGGGAGGATAATGGATCGGAACGTCCAATTTTGCCCAGGCAGCCTTTTTGGAGCCCGACAATGTTGAATTATGAATTTCCTTGGCGGTGGGTGTTGGTGAGGTAGATGAAGCAGGAGCAGGGCGAGGTGGTGATGTGGGGGCGCTGCCAAGGGTTGGCCAGAGCTCACTTCCCAAGTTAGATACAGGAGCGACGGCAGGTTCCGCCTCTTTGGCGAGGAGATTTTCGCTCCGAGCAGCAGTTTGTACAATCTAAAAGCACACTTGTTAGTCAAGAAAGTCGACCCAGCATATCAACATATCTTAGAAACCAGCAGTACCTTGGCAGCTATAGGGCCAGTTCGTGTTTCCCGAGGCCTCTTTGCGCCATCCTTTACTTCCGTCGGCTCAGGTGTGACCTCGTCCTTTTCAGACACTGCTGGCTTGGACAATGTCACTTCCTCAGTAGTTCCCCCTTCTTTATTAGAAACAGATTTTTTGCTGGCGGTAGTTCCAGTGGACGAAGCGGCTGTTGAGGATGCAGCCTGCTGCGACGCCTTAGAGGTCTTCTTTTTCCCCGTTTTTTTAGATTGGACTTTTACAAAGCCCTCTGCAGCATCTTTCTCTTCTTGTTCCTTACGGGCTTTGTCCTTAGCGGCTTGTCGTTGTCTCCGCTCCTCGTGATTTTTGTGCTGCGACGTTTTGCGGTTTTGGTCAGCCTGCTTTTGCTGTTCCTCTAACCGGATCTTCCAAACATTCACTGACGGAACAGGGGCGGGTACTACATGCTTTTTGTCGGATCCATTGTGGCTGCCCATCTCCTCCTTCGTTCCATCTTCAGACTCTACTTGGTGATCTTCCACCACAGCTGTTGTCTTGCTCACTTCCTCTGTGTCTGCCTGTATACCGGCTGACAAAACATCACTGGATGTGGGCCCTTCAGCTAATGATAAACCATTATTGAGCCGTTCGGACTGCAGCAGTCTATTGAGAGTCATACCTTTTGTTGAAGTCTCAGCAGCTGGCGAAGCGGCGCCATTAGATGATACATCAGTAATAACGGCCTTTTGAGCCAAGCTTGCCCAAGACATTGACACTGCAGTTTTTGAGACTAACTGGTCGGAGGCGGTTTGCTGATCAAGGACAGCCACACTGCTAGGCGCTGAAGCCCCCGCCTCTTCGGAAGTCATCGAGAGTTGGTTGGTTAGGTCACGGGCAAGTGTCTACAATGAAAAGAAATAGACTGTTATGGCTCTGCATGCAAACAAGAATAAAAAACCTAGTAGCCCTTTCAGCCCAGCATCTCTGCAATATCCGTTGTAGCAAGCGTCAACAAGCCAGTCGTCCATCACCATTTTACGGGCATCCTGGTGTTGCAATACTAGACGACCACTCTAGCACGCAAATGGCCTGCTTTCGCCCCCTCCCATTCCGTCAAGTATAGCGCGCCACCGGCGATATATGTGTTCCCGCGGTAATTCATTTCGTTGTGTGTAATGCCCACCTTTACTATCCACACTTTAGCCCCCTCCTGTTCCGAAAGAGTAGCCTACTGCTGCGAGCGGCTCCCCGATAGGACGAAAGTTGTGCCCCGCTCTCCAACAGCGAGCAAATGGGGACGGGGTGTAAAACCCGAGTAACTCTATTGATCGCGCAGCGTAGCGCTGGTTATATATAAGTTAGAACGGCAACCGACGAAACAAGACGACGTTGGCAGTTCAAAGAGTGTCGGCGGACGCACGCGGCTACGACGACCAAGGGTAGGTGAAACGCTCTACACGGGAAAAAAAAGAAACACCGCCTTGGCGTTGGAACAGCGCAGGGAAAAGCGGACTGCAGAATGACAGCGACGTCGGGGGGTTGCGGAGATTCCGTTTCCTGTAGCCGTGACGTGAGGCAACGAACCCCAATCCCAGCAAACAAAAAAAACGAGAAATGCGGCCAGTGAACTCGCAAAAAAAATCCAAGACGAGGTTCCCCAGCAAGTCACACGAGACGAACTTTTTCTTTTGACCAACGAGGGCCAGTTGGAGAGTGACGTATCGCATTCTAGCCAATCAGAGAGGGCTTCATTTAGCCATAGATAGTATTGCTTACGTGTTCTACACGTAATAAAATGTCAGCGCAAAGTAAGGGCAGATGGAGGGTATTCAAAAGGCATTTGACGTTATGATGATTGTCATGACTCCCTCAATAGCCCTCAATTTGCCCTTGTTCATGATTTGATGCATGGATGCAGCATTTGGCGGCGATCAGGTTCTCTACCATCTTTGCTGGTATGGTCTTGTCTATTGGCGTTCTCCTACCACACCCATTTGCAGAGATGCCGTTGTCGCCCTGCACACACACATACACACGGATGCATGCATGCGCAATGTTCATGATAGCACCGAAAAAGCATGTCTCCGCCTTGTACCAACACTTTAACCGATACGTGGCTTTCCCCAAATGACGCGATCTCCCATTGGGCACGTGTCTGATGACAAATGATCGCTTGGAAATGCCCGTCCAAATAAAAAGAACGCTAACGTTAACTTTCCACTTTGTAAAGACTTTCGCAAGAGTTTGCAAGATGGCTGCCCGTGTGATTCCAATTGAGATTGTGTCCGACACTGTTTGTCCCTGGTATGGCTTAATCATTGATGATTTTGCGTGCGTTGCAACAGCTATTTATCAGGGAGTGCTGGTTAGGTGCTTTGTCGGCAAAAGGCGACTCGAAAAGGCGATTGCAGCTGCCAAAAATAGGAATCTACCTCTGGAGTTCAAGATCAAGTTCAAACCTTTCCAGGTAGGAAATGGACGCTTATATGACATCTCCAAAGATCTGACGATGCGGATGTTAGCTTGATCCTACACTCCCCAAAGAAGGAGTCTCCAAGATCAAGAAATACGAAGCAAAATTTGGCCCGGAACGGATCCAGCAAATGATCCCTCATATGCAGGTGGTTGGCGCTGCGGAAGGCATAAAGTTTTCGTATGATGGATTGATCGCAAAGTAAGCAGCTGCAGCACGTCCGCGACGTCGTTAATCTTAACATTCTTGTCGTTACAGCACAGTTGATTCGCATCGTGTTCTCGAATACGCTCTTCAGAAAGGGGCTCAACTCGAGCTTGTCGAGGAGCTTTTCAAGGACTACTTTGAGCGAAACAAGAACATTGGTGACCATGAAGTACTTGCGGATGCTGCAGCAAGAGTCGGTTTGGATAAGGAGGAGGTGAACACTGTTTCAAATACTCTCATTTTAACGAATCCATTGACTGACAGTATCCGCAGGTCCTCGCCTACCTTAAAACGGACCAGGGCAAGCACGAGGTTGAAGAACAAATTGAGGTAAGCATTCTACCAATTGCATTTACTGTACAGCCGGATTCGTTTGACTCGGATTCATTTGACTCGGTATCTTTTTGCAGTCCGCCTACCGTCGGCGAATTACCGGTGTACCTCATTTCCGTATCAATGGAACATACTCACTAGGTGGCGCGCAAGATCCTGAAGCGTTCCTAGAGGTAGGTTCAGCTCCTGGCCTTCTACAACTGTGGACATTGTTAATGAATGTTTTTCTAGATTTTTGAAGCACTTGCGAAGCAATAGTTGGACCAGAACTTTTGAATTGACCATGTAATGATTTCTAGACCAGATATCTAAATAGCAGTTTTGTACGTTTTACATGATCTCACCTCATGTGTTTAGTGTCTCGCACGTAGATGCTAGCGTGCTGGATGCATTGTAGCTTGCACGCAGATAACGCATATATACGTTTCCAATTCGGACAGTCATCCGTACAGGAAAGGCATTGGTGGTTTAGTGGTATAATTACCGCCTGCCACGCGGTAGATCCGAGTTCGATTTTCGGCCAATGCATTCAAGCCCTACGTAGTTCTTTTTTTTTTTCCGCCGGGCCTAGACTTTGCATGGTCGACTCAACGACAACGTTTTGGTCCCCCGACTGCTGCAGCATACGACATACACTATGGTGGTTTATTGGAATTATCTCTGCTGTGCTCCCGCCATAACTGAAGCCCATGGTCTAGTTAATCTGCCTCACCCGCAAGTTTCCTCAGATCTACATGCACCAGGGTTAGGTTAGGTTAGGTATGCAACTTCGCTCCACGGCCCGACTTCCTTGCTTTCCCTTCAGTTGGCATCAGGATACTGTCCTTTTCTTCAGGTGGTCCCTCTTGCACACGACGAGATGTGGTCGTCCATGCAGTTAGATTGCATGAATATCAGTTTGTGATGGGATGTGCCCTTAAAGTTTATCCACTTTCCAAATTCTTTTGTACTGGAGCAATTGACCGATAAATCCTCTGTACCCATCCATATTGAAATCCTTCGATCGCTTTCAAAAAAGACTACGCATCTATAATTCACACTATTCATCCCAGTTCCATCTAGAGTGCTCTATATCAACGTTCTTTTGCCAACTGGACTTTTCGGCATACGGTTGGGAGATGGATATACAACGTGCGGACGGTAGGTAGGCCATATAGCCGGAGAGTCTCTTACCAACAACGATATCCACGTCCTACTTCACCGTGACATTGATACGGAAACTCCCCACGTTTTCCATCGATCACCAGAGCTTTCCCGGTCCACCGGTGGACGACCAAGACAAAACGTGAATCGGAAGAGAGTATATGAGTCCGATTATAAGGCGGCCGCTTGATGCTGTTCCGTTACGGCGAGGATCTGCAAAATCCATTTTGGTTTACTAAGTACGTGAGTACTGGAAGCGATATTGCGACATGTTAACATTATCGCATGGTTTTTCATATTCACGGGATGGAGTACGTCGATTGCTTGGGTCAGAACATCTGGGGAATACATACTTGATCGACCACGTCTTGAATGGTTGATGGCAACATTTTGATGCATGGGAATAGCGTACCGAAGAGTGAACTAATGGCTCTTTCGCCTGTGCGGTGCAGATAAACGTTCCCTTCCCTCTTGTGGAATACAACCTGTTGGAATTCGTTATCCCTATTAATAGTCAAGCCCCCGCTCAACTCGGTGTTATCGGAAACTTGCCCTCCCAATTGCTCCCAGGATGGGAGTGGTGAACGAAAGCAGTATGACTACAATGCAGGACCCTCCGCCCATCCGCGAATAGTGTGGTCTGGATAAACAATCTGAGAAGGTAGAAAAGAAAAGGTATCATATCATAGGGCAGAATAAAATACAATGTTTATAGTGGCACCTGCAGCATGCTTAATGGTGTTGAAAGATGGTGCTTTTTGCAAGCAACCTTAATTTTTTTAAAAGTAAAAAATAAAATCATGGCGACGACAACGGGCACCTCTGTATTCCTGCAAAAGTAGTCGTACAAGATGCAGTATACACTATAGTATAAGACGTACTATGAGAGGTAAGATATGATGCTATTGTATTATAACAGGTAAGAATGCTATGTACTATTAAGACTGGACTATTCTTATACTACGATACTACAGACCGTATGCTTTAACGGAATCGAACAGTTCAATCTCACGACCCATTGAAATCACCCCCGATGGCACAACAAGTTTGTAACGCAAGACAAGGCGTGTTCAGGCCGTATACCTTTAACGGAATCGAACAGTTTAATCTCACGGCCCATCTACCACCCGCCAACAGTCCAGTTTGGCAAGAACTGGTAAATGCAATTGTAAACGACCTCCCTGCTCACACAATAAACCAGAAGCCGTGCCATTGCCGCCTTGCGTATGTGTCACTTCTGTTTGATTGCGACCGAATTGGCGAGAAAATGGGAAGCCGCATAGAAGCCATTTCGAACCGCATGCCAACAACACCAGTATTAAAATTCAGATCGCAGAATAGCTCTGACAAGACTCGCGGCAGCCGGCGTCGTGCATGCCGAAGATATTTTCGCAGTTTACGCCCAACCTAAGCCTTTTTTGGACCGGTACCGCATTTGCGTTCATTTTCGTAATCGGGAAACCGCGCAAGCTTTCTACAATACCATCGTTGAACGAGACCATATAGCCTTCCCAAGGTATTTTTTTAATTTCAAACCTTGGGTCGGTGGACCCACCCCAGCCGGCCCCGCCCCAACCTCTGTATCGCTACCCAACGCAACAGGTACCCAAATCGTTACAAATATGGCTGCGGTAGAGAGAATCGTGGAGCGTGCTCATGCTCATGCTGTTGTTGTGTTGGAATCGGGAAACTCTCGAGGTCTAGCCGCGAAACTGCTGCCTCAAGATCAATAAGCAGGAGCCCTCCGTCGGTCGGCAGCCGCAGGACTTTGTCGTCAAAGTATGGTCCACGAATTCCCGTATCGCACTCGATTCGAATGGTCGGTATTAGTGAACGCTCTTTGAGCTCCAGCTGGACCAGATCGACTACGTGCTCGCAAGAGTTGAAGCAGCCAACCGCGAATCCCAAGATTGAGAGGATATTGTTAAACTCAGCAAATGCGCGGTCCCATGACCAAGTGAAGCTCAGCGTTATCCCCATTGACTCCAAACACAACATGTTGCGCGATTACTTTTCGAATCTGATCCTTCTGCGTCGCTGCATTATGTGAACGGGGATGTTTGGTTGGTGGTCAGAAGCGGGGAGCAGTGGAAAATATTGCTCGTTTTGATAGCCAAGTAAGCATTGCGGGCGTCTTGTGCTTGCGTTCGGATGGAAGTCCTACTCGAATCGCCTTTGGTCAGGGAATTCTGCACGGGCGCGGTCGACCATTCTTGAGGTTGCAGCTCTCTCTCATTCGTTGGGATCCTGTCGCGTCAGGGGATGATTCCGATGTCGCAGGAGGAGCAATAGGTGCAGCCCTGCGGATTTATGGGCTCTCGTACCGAAAAAGTACCGGGCTTGACCGTGCTTTCCTGTACCGAGAATAGCGTGAAGGAATGCCTCCGCAGTTGCGCGATCGAGGAAATGTATAGAGAGGCGGTAGCGATCTTGATATTTGATGCCGTACAAGACGATGTCGTCTTGCGCTGCGATTCCAGTCTTGTGAGCCTGTGATAACAAATGCGTATGAGAAAAGGAACTGTCACGTGTAAAAGTCTGCAGCTACCTGACTAAAGCAATATACGGTAATGCTCTATTGATTGGGCACCCCTTGTGTATTCGTCTTGAGTCGTGTCTTCCGTCGTCTTGAGTCATGCCGACCTTGTCGTGATCAATATGTTTGGTGGCGGCAATCGCAGTTGCTCCAAGAAGGATCGTTACTCGTTGGTCGTGAAGGCGTGGCACAAATTGGCACCCATCCTGCTGTGCAAATAGCCATGTGCCTTTTGCAGGTACGGCACGCATCGGCCCATCCCATCCAGCTGTCAAGCAGCAAAACAAAACTGACGTTCGCTCGTTACGGCACTTGGCATTGGAGGGATGGGACGACGGAACGACGGCACCATCCAGTTCTCCAATAGAAAAAAAAAACTGCTCGTCCTTTGTCAAGCACGGTAAACATCGGAATTTGACCAATTTTTGTTGACAGGTTGGCTGACGATGAAAAGCGTCAGGAATTGACATAAGCACCAGATCGCTTCACGCACACACGTGACAGGCACGACACGGGCTTTGAAGACCTTACCTCCAGCGCTGCCTCCAGGGCTGTTTTTGAACTTTAACTATGGGTGATTCGATCGCTTCAAACTGTCACCACGCTAATTGAACGATTGCACAATCTGTATTTGTCGCATGTTGCCAAAACAGCATTGCCGCATTATAAGCCTTTTTTCTTCCGTCAACAGTTTAGCTAATTGACGTTTGTTAGCATGGTTAATTTGAACGTTGCAATGCAAACAGACGTACATAATGGAGGCTGCGTCTTGTTCATGATGCATCATTGAA